AGGCGGTGCCAATTTCAGGCAAGATTGTGCCACTTTGGGGTGAAATCTCACCCCAAATGGATCTGATCTTGCCTGAAATCAGCACTGATGGTGGTGGCGCACCTGCAGGAGTGCTGCCTGGGGGGCTTCTGACACCTAAGTAAGAGGCCTTGCCCTCCTTAATCAATGGCTGCCAGACTACAACTCCCATAATCTCTGGCCTTTGGCTGTTGTAGTCCTCCAGCAACATCTGGCAGACACCATCTAGGCCAGGCTTCCTCAAACTCGGCCCTCCAGATGTTTTTGGCCTACAATTCGCATGATCCCTAGCTAGCAAGACCAGTGGTCAGGGATGATGGGAATTGTAGTCTCAAAACATCTGGAGGGCCAAGTTTGAGGAAGCCTGATCTAGGCCGTATCTGACAGGAGCCAATTCTTTGTCGCCATGCTTCTGGGGTGGCCAACTTGTGGGATGCTTTTTCATTTTCTTACTCCTCAATTTTCTCCCTCCCTTGTGCTTGCACCCATTCAGCGAACTACAACAAAAAACACATGCCGCAAATAGTTAAGATGGGGTCGCAGAAGCCTGGAGCAGAAGACCAAAGAGCCAAGTTATTTATGAAATAGCTCTGGGACTGCAGGAGTCTCTATTCTTCAGTGGTTAGTAGAGAGGAAATTAATCTAACTCCCAAAGGCAAGGAGCAGTGAATATTATCCTAGGTGAAAAGGTTCTGAATGTTAAATGGCAAACTCCTGAATGACGGGTGCCAGCAAGGTTGTTCCTCTGAGGGAGAAATTCCAAGCACTGAAGACTACAGGATATAGTTGATACTGTCATCCCATATCACGGCTTGTGAGATTAATGCAAATCAGAGGCCCTTCCCTCCACCCGTCACATTAAAGTTCTTCCAGATTTGGAAACGGGGTTTTTTCTTTTTCTGATGAAAGCGCAGAGTTCTGGAGAAATCCACCTGGGATTCTACACTCAATAACAGATATAGCTAACAGCACTACTATTGCGGACAAAAACAACAACAACCCACAGTCTAAGAATCAAAGATAATTATAGCAAAATAATCAAGCAGAGTAAGAGACTGATAGAGGAGACGGGGAAGACCAAAACCACAAAATCAGCAATGCTCTTACAAGGAGGAAGTGGGTAATAGGCATCTTATGAAGTGGGCTCCAGTCCATCAGAGCGTATGCCGTAATATATCTAATAGCCTAAAATGCCAGAGAACTCTTTATGGGTTTCCTGTAACAGACTAAGATGTCTCTGGGGAGCTGGCAGCAGAGTACAAGTGTTGAATGGGAGAGTATTTCAGAAAATGGACAGATACAGGCTTAGTCTGTCGATCCTGAACAGAATCCAATTCTTGAATTAAGAGGATGCGGTCTAATTACCCTTAAGTCTTAAAACTTCTGCTGATGCTACTGAAATTGTGAAGCCACCCACCTAAGTCCGTCCGATTTCCCTAAGAGAATCCCGCCCTCTATAAAGGTGTCGCCTTTGGTCCCCACTTCACTCATAGCTGTGGGAGCCCAGAATAAGATTTATTAATGCAGACATCAACTGGGAGGAAGAAGGAAGGAAGGAGCCGCATCACAAAGATGCTAAAAGAAAGGCAGATTTGGGCTGTGTCCAGAATCACAATTCCCCCCCCTCAGTTTCTAGGAAGAACAGCAGCCTGCTGGCAGCCATGTATACCAGGAAGGCAGGCCTAGGGAATATGGCCTTTCACATTTGAGAGCCTCTTAATTCACCGTTGCAAAATGAGATGCATTAAGTGAGGAATCCGCCTTACAGTAACTTCAGAGGATTGGCCTATCTTCTTCAGTGTTGTCTACACTGACTGACAAGAAGCTCTCCAGGATTTCAGACAAGTCCTCCATGGAGATGCCAGGGATAAAATCTGGGACCTTCTGAATGCAAGCCCATGCTAACCTATGACACTTCCTCAAATACACGTGTGCTCTGAGTTATGGGAGTTTGCACGTGCCTGCAACTCAGACCCACTGATCCCAAAGAGTCCTTCTATTACCAAACTGGGTTGTGGGGGGCTGACAACTATTACTCAGTGGGCATAAGACACTTAACAGCCCTCTCACCTTAATTATTGACTCAGGTGTCCCAGGTCTGAGCCCTGGCATGAAAAGCTGGTCTAGTAGCACCTTAAGAACAGAACATTTAGTAAATGCAGATGCTCCCTTTTCTGGTTTCCCCCAGTACTTTTGATCTAGGATTGCAGGAAAAAATAGCCTGATCTGCTCCTGCATCCTCTAACAGCAGTTTAATCTGCTGGTACCATTTAAAAAAAAAACTTCACCCTCTAATTCCTGAAGACCAAATTACTCTTTAGGCACAGTCACAGAGGTCAGTTCAAAAGATGGCAATCCTAAATTAGTATTGGTATGTCCAAGAGCTGCTCAACATATTACTGAGCTGCATGCCTATGTTCACCAATTAGTGTCCATTCAACAAGATGCTTTAGTGACTAAGGAGGGGGGGATGGTCAGAATACCAGGACCAGGGGAGTAATCCCATGAAGCTGATTGGCTGGTGATTCAGGAGAGGCAGATGCGGGAGAACTTAAGATTCAGTTCACCTTTAAAGCCAAAATTATCAAAGCCACGTTTTCTGAAACAATATGAGAACCGAAACAGCCATCCCTCGAAATCTGCACTTATCCAACTTTTGCAATGCTCCAGCCAACAAATGTTTACAAAAATGCACACAGGTTAGGTAAAAGTGTGCATAAGAATGAATATATTAGTGAAAATAGCATACCAAAAAATGCATATTAGAAAGAGTTGTTAGTCAACAAGATGGATATTAGTATTTTTTAAAATGCATTTATTAGGAGAAATTTACACTAAAATGCTGAAGAATTTTCAAGAGGATTTTTAGAAAGAAAATTCATGAATTGCTGCAGCAGACATGTGATGAACCAAAGGCTGGAGAAATGAGAAGCTGTGAGAACCGAAATTGACAGTCCCTACCACCCCTAAGGAGGGGCAAAAGGAAGTAATTCTTTACATAGTGGATAATATTGCAGCCACAAGGTGTGGTGGTAGCCACTGGTTTTAAATTGGGATTAGGCAAATACACAGAGCTTGCTAGTTCAGCTGACTATATGCTACCTCCAAGTTCAGATGCAACATGGCTCTGAATACCAGTTGCTTAGGAAGAACAGCAGCAAAAAAGCAATTGCCCTCACATCCAGCTTGTGGATCCCTAAAGAGACATCTAACAGGCCACTGTAGACAACAGGAAGCCTTTGGTTTCGTCCAGAAGGGCTATTTTGAAGGTCTCTATCTTCTTCCCAGCTCCCACTTTTATCATATCTGGAGCTGTTCATGGCCGGACACTCTCTGCAAGGCTCACTCCTTGCAACATCTTATTATAGGGCATGGAGCCCGTTCAGGAGCAGCAGGCAAAGAGGAAACCCAAGCTTCGAAACTGTGCAGAATGCCAAGCACACACACAAAGCTCAGCCGGCCTGGCCAGCAGCCAGACTGCTGGAGAAAGCTTGCAACACCTAGCAAAGGATGCCTGGAATACTGACTTGTCTCACACCCCAGCAATAGGCTGGCTTTCCCCGCTGCAGAGATGCCACCATCCCTGGAGCCGGGTGGCTGAGCCCTGGCTGTTTCAACGCCAAGCTTCCCGTTAGCCCATTCCGCCAGGACTCCCCTTCCCAAGAGACACCTAGGCAGGCTGGAGAGTGCCCCCGAGCATGTGCAGAGTTCCCCCACTAGTGAGCGATCCCACGCAAGGAGAGTAGAGCGGGCTGATTTACGCCGGCGGCACCTCTCCTTTAAAAGGAGGAAAGCAAGACTGCACCAATGGGCGAGTGGGCTCCCCACCCCTCCCCACTCTTACGCAATACACCCGCTCCAAGGCCCTGGCCGGATCGGAGCAAGAGGCAACTACTACTCCCACCCCCCACCCTCCCGATCCACGCATTATTTCTTCTCCGCTCCTCCAATCGCCATTTCCTCCCCCTCGCCTTTCAGGTGTCGTCGTCCCCCCCCAGTAAAGAGCAACCCCGCTTCTTCCTCTCCGCCCTCCCCTCGGTTTTTCCTCGCCAGGCAGGCGCGCTGCCAGCCACCCCCGCTCCCCAGCGTGGAGCCAGGCAACCAGCTCGCCAGCCAGCCAGCTCCCACTCCCCCCAGGCCCACGCCGTGTCCCCACTCCGCAGCCCACGCACTCGTAAGCGCGCGGGCGGAGAGAGCGCACCTCCCGGCGAGGGGGAGCCCCCCGCGTGTTTCCCCCCTCCCCACCCCGCACAGCCAACTGCCCGACCCGCTGCCAAAGAACATCCGATCGCCGTGGCGATCCCTTCCCTTTCTCCCCCGGGGGCTACCCGCCCCGCCACGTGCTTTTCCTGCGCGCCCGCGGGAGCCCGGCGAGCAAGCGCTTCTCCCGGCTGGAGAGCCCAGCAGCAGCACCGCCGCCACTGCAGTGAAGGCGCAACCCTCCGCAGCCACCCCTCTCCTTCCTCGGCGCCGCCGGGAAATCAATCTTCGACGGAGGGAAGCGGCAGGGCGGCGTCGGGACCGAGAGAAAGGCGCTCCCCCCCCAAAAAAAAAGGATCGCGGGTTGGAGAGGGATCGCCCGCCCCCCCGCCTCAGATTGTTGCCTGGTGGGGCTCCGCAGCGTGCGTCATGGCTGCGCAGCGCGGGCGAGCCCCTCACTCTCTCCAGGACCCCCCCTCTCTCGGTAGATCCCCCACCCCCGACGAGCCACGCTGGGGAAGGGGCTGCCGCCGCCCCGCCGCTACCAGGCCCGCCTCTCCCTAGCCAGCCCCCGGCCGGGCCTCCCAGACTGCAAGCCGTGGGGCAGGCAGCCGGTTAGCCGTCCAGGCCCCGACGCAAACCCCGAAGCGGCGAGAGGGGAGTAGGGGGGGGATCCGTCTTTGCTTTAGGGTGGGGGGAAGGGAGCTGTGGGGGGATCGTCCCTGCGCGTCTCCTCTCCCGCCCATCCCGTGCCCGTGCGAGGCGCGGCGCCGGCTCCTTACTTGCCAATTTCCTCGTACAGCTGATACTCGTCGGTGAAGCGGGTGCAGGTCACGGTCGTGGCCATCGCGGCTGCAGCTTCGCTCCGCAATGAGCCGCCCGGGCTCCGCTCCGGCTTCGGCTCCGGCTGGCAGCGGGGGGAGGAGGGGCGGGGGCGCGAGCTTGGCTGGCAGGCGGGGAGGAGGAGGAGGAAGGAAGGAGGGGGGGCGACGCCGCTTCAGATCGGGGGTGAGCGAGAGAGAGAGAGAGAGACGCCCAGCCCGCTGCGTGCGGCAGAAGGCGGCTCCTGCAACGCGAGCGAAGCTCCTCGGCGAACAGCGAGCCCGGCACTGGGCAGAGCCCGGGAGAGCTGCCAGGGGAGGGCCGCCGGCAAGCGGCAGCCTCGGGGGAGGGCGATCCACCCTACCGCGCACCAGCCGCCCCCGGGCGGAGGAGGGGGGATCGCGGCAGCCCCTTTCCCCGGCGCCGCCCAAGCGGAGCGCGCTGCTCAGCCTCGACGGCTCGAGGAAGCGGCTCGCTCGGACCTCGCGGGTTCCCTCTTTCTCCCCAAGCCCGGTCCGCCCGCACCTGACTCGGGGAACTTCCGCGCGCAACGGAGGGGCCGTTCCCCACGTGCGCCGCCCGCCCCGAGTTCCACCAGCCTCGCTCCCGCGCAGCCCAATCAGAACCACTCCCCTGTCCTCTGCAGTTACGCGCCCACCCACTTCTCTGGTTGGCAGCCTACTTCGCAGGGCTGTTGGGAAGATAACTTGGAGGGTGCGTGCGTGTGAGAAGCGCAATTCATCATCTTCGGCCCAAACAGGTCCCTCCCGAGGGATACCTACTTCCACTTTTACGGCGCCATCCTAAGCTTCTTCACTCAGAAGTAAGGCCCACTGTGCTCAGTGGGACTTGCTCCCCAGCAAGTGCACTTTGCAGTCACAGCCCAGGTTTGCAGTTAGGGCACCACAGACCATGTTTTTGCTCCGTTCTCATGTTCCCCGGGTCCAGTTCGGAGACAACTCCATTGGAGTTCCACTGCAAATATAACATCACAGATAGGAAGCCTTCAGCACTCCAGGGGTGGTTGGACTCCCATCAGCCCCAGGCAGCTTAGCCAGTGTTTAAAAAACGATGGGAGTTGTAGCACAACAGCCAGCGTGGTGTAGTGGTTAGAATATTAGACTATGCCCTTGGAGGCCAGGGTTCAAATCCCCATTCTGCCATGAAGGCCTATTGGGTGATCTTGGGCTACTTACTATCTGTGGGCCTGACCCAGTGGCGTAGCGTGGGTTGTCAGCACCCGGGGCAAGGCAAGTAATTTGCGCCTCCTAACCCGTGGATTTGCGCCCCCTAACCCGTGGATTTGCGCCCCCTAACCCGTGGATTTGCGCCCCCTAACCCGTGGATTTGCCTAACCCCCAGATGTTGCGCCCGGTGCAGCTGGGCCCCCTGCACCCCCCACGCTACGCCACTGGCCTGACCTGCCTCACAGGGTTGTTTTGTGAGGATAAAATGGTGAGAGGGAGCAGTGTGTTGCCACCTTGCGCTCCTTGGATAAAAGGTAGGATACAGATTAATATCAATGGACACCTGGAGGTTCTGCACCCCTGTCAGTCATGCTCTCTTAAACACCCTTCAGATGGAGGCTCCACGGATCCAAAGTCCATTTCCTGCCTGCAAGTTAGAGCCTCTGCCACTGCCCACTGGTGGTGCATTGGAGACTGTAATAACCACTCCTTTATAGATGGGAATCCGCCTATGGTTTTACAGGCGTCATTACTGGGATGATGGCTGGATTTGCTCTTCCTGGCGCTGCAGTTCCAGTTGCTGCTATGGAAACAGGATCGTGGACCAGTTAGGCCGCTGGCCTGATCTAGCGGGGCTTCCTTACATTCTTACAAGTAACGTTGTAGAATAATAGCCAAAGATGCCACATCACCTAAAACACTGGTCTTCAGCTGGTGGGTCGGGGCCTGCTGGTGGGTTGTAACCTGTCCAAAGGTGGGTCGCAACGGCAACCCCTGTACAAAATATATGGTGCAAAATTTAAAAAGTGGGTTCCCAGATGCATCTTTCCGTTAAAGCTGGGCCCTTGTTCTGAAAAGGTTGGGGAACGTTGACCACAGTAATGTATGCAGACATGCATATTACAGTTTGTCATTTACTTATCCTCCTAGTGGTGCAGCAATAAAATTGCTAGCTATTTGCAATGCTAAGCAGTGCCTGGGGTGGTTTCAAATTGGATGGGGGACCGAGATTCCTGCATTGCAGTGGGTTGGGCTAGATGACCCTCAGGGTCCCTTCCAACTTCAATTCCAGCATTCAAATCCATCACCAAACAGCTATTACACAATAGGTAGCCTCCTTGACCTATGATTTGTTTTTGTTTTTTACTACGTCGAGATGCTACGAGAAGCATGTGGGTGGTGGCAGTGGTGGTGGGGAACCCACTCTCATTGATTCTGTTGCCATTTTAAGAAGAAGGTCTGTGCAGTATTCGCTAGATGAAAAATGCATTTAGGGTTTGAACTGCAGAGCTGGGACTGGGTTTAATTCATACAGAGCAGTGGTTTTTCAATCAATCAGTCATTTATTATTAAATCCCGAAACATGTTGATATTCTGCAGAATCCCCCTCCCTTTGTGTCTCCCCCCCCCTCAAAACACGCCCACACACACAAGAACTGATGCTTAGCAATTTATTTAATAGTTACTTTGATATAGACTGGTTCTGAACATCCATCCTGAAGGATTTAAGGTTCTAGGATGCAACTAGACTAGCCTGCATATTAGTGGTCCCTTTACCTTTACTCCCACTTTTGGAATGGCAGTGCCTGGCAAACACTGGAGAGAGGAGCAAAGTGCCTGAGGTTGGAGGTGTACAAAACCGCAGCCCTTGGGGCTGTTCAAGGAACCCAAGGGTTCCATAGATCTTTGCTGGAAAACAGAGGGAGGATGACTTGAATAGTTAAGAAAAATGCTGGTGCCATGAAAGGCAGAGATGTGATCTGTGGCCATGCTTTGGTTTACAGGCCACATTTGCCCGCCGGAGCACATTTCTGGGGCTGTTTGCTTTTAGTGACGCTGTTACCTTTCTCAGCTAATGCATCGCAGAACCCGGCGACATTCCTTGAATTTCTAAAAGCGGTGGGATTGCTAGGTATTTAAATGACTCAGAAGACCCATGACACAAATCTTCATAAGATATACATGTTGATCTATATGCCAAGATGCACATTTAAGCTGACCTTCAGAAGGAAAAAAATAGACTCTGGTTCTTTTGTCAGGGCTTCATTAACATGGTATGTGACTGGGGGTCTCTAGCTCCAGAGCAGCACACACAACTGCATTGCAAGCCAATTTTGGGATACTCAAATGCATTTAAATTTGTTTGGGACCAATAAATAGCAGAAGGTCCCAGGTTTAATCCTGGCATCTTCAGTTAAAAGGATGAGGGAGCAAGTGGTGTGAAAGCTACTGGACTAGATGGAGGAACAGTCTGACTGGAGAAGGGCATCTTTCCATGGACATCTTTCATGGATGCTTTAGCTGTGATTCCTGCATTGTATGGGGTTGGACTAGATGACCTTTGGGTCCCTTCCAACCCTATAATTCTATGGGTTCACACTGCACAGGTGATCTACCCAATAGTGCCTACAGATCCAGCAGTTCTGGACAATTAATGCAACCAAGTTGATTCACACACTTTAAACAAGCTGAGTTTTTTTTGCGATGCCAGGAACATTGCATTGTTTCCAGTGTTGGTCATACTCAGGCCACATCTACTTAATTACATCACCTTAATTAATAGCTATGGCTCCCCCCCTCCAAGAATATTGGGAACTATAGTTTGATAAGGGAGCTGAGAGATGATAGGAGCTACAGTTCCCAGAGTTCCCTGTGAAGAGGGGTTGATGGTTAAACCACTTGTTATACCACTCTGAGGACTATAGCTCTGTGAGGGGAATAGAGGGTCTCCTAACAACTCTCAGCACCTTAGCAAACTACAGTTCCCAGAACTCTTTGGGAGAAGCCATGACTGTTTTCAGTGGGTATGATACTGCTTTTAATGTGTAGAGCAGGTGTGGTCTCAGAGTTGGCCCATGACAAGCTTAGGTCCATTAATTTTGGTAGGTTTACCCAAAACAAGCCAATGATTATCTTGTGAACAGTCCTGAGATCTTCAGATGAAGGCCAGTTAGAGAGATAGATATAAATTGCAAGCTGCCCAGCAAACCGTTGGCTTCTTTGGTTATGCTGCTGCTGATGGAAGAACATGACATGTATTTTCTCAGATACTATCTGTAAATCATCTTTAGATAATTTCCCCTCAAGTAAATTTGTCAGGATGTATAAAAATGGTTTGAATGCATGTTGGAAGTGTCCACAGATGGAAGGTACAATTTTCCACATGTGGTGGACATGCAAAAAGGCCAAAGGATTCTGGGAGGTGATCAACTGGAGATGTTTAAGCTGACATTAACAAAAACAAGAACAGAGGCTTTGCTTTTAGGAATAATGGATATTCCCAAGAAGTTGCTCAATCTATTTCTATACACGAAAACAGTGGCAACAGTAATACATGCGCAAAAGGAGAAGACAAAGAAATCCCAACTAAGGAAGAATGGCAGAACAAACTGACAGAATACATGCAGTTGGTATGTCTGACAACAAAAATCAGAGACCAGGAGGAGTCAGTGTTAAGGGAGCAATGGAACCCTTTTGTAGAATACTTTAAGACATAATAGCCAGATACGGTAAGTAGGATTCGAACTATGAACAGTGGTGAAAAACAATTTAGATTGAAGAGGGGTGTTAGGAATGATAAGGGGAAACTGGGAAACCATGGGGGGATGGAGGGAAAGTTCATAGGTTTTAGAAAGAATGGTGGTAATTAAATATGTATTAAAGGTTTGGAAAAAAATGTTGTTGTTGTTGTTAGACATGTATTTTCCCAGTGCCAGTTACAGTGAGGAAGCTAGGAAAGAAATCGTGCAATGAGGCAGAAAGGCGAAAGGTCCTGGGGTCTGATTCCTGCTGATGGAGCCCCTTGTTCGGTGCTCAAAGGTGACACTGTCTGAGAGGCAAGGAGGCCATTCAGTTGTGAGTTTTAATGTCGCTGCGTTCAGTCAAGCTGTCAGAAGAACATCAGTCGCTTGAGCCCATCATCTTGAACCTTGGCTGAGCAGCACAAGGCAGGTGG